GGAATCCTATACTTCAGCTAGCTGTAAATTGGGAGTTCCCACCACCTTCTCCTCTGGTTTGATAATTCACTTTAACAGCTCACGTCAAGGAAACAATGACATCAGTTTATTATAAAGGATAACAGTAAAGAATGCAAATGAACAGCCAGATGAAGAGGTAAATAGGGCAAGACATGTGGCAGGAGCACAGAGCTTCCACGCCCTCTCTGGATTCATCATCCTCAGCACCTCGATGTGTTCACCAACTTGGAAGTTCTCTAAATGCTTTCTTTTACAGTGTTTATGGAGGTCCTATTACTAAGTCATGGCTGCTTAAATCATTGGCCACTGGTGATTAACTTAGTCCTCAGCCTTTCTCTCCTCCCCAAGGTTGGGAAATGGGGCTGAAAGTCCCAACCTTCTTATGGTTCCCTCTAGCAACTAGCCTCCAGCCTCCAACAGTCACCTCTAAACTCAGCTATAGTTGAAAGGGGCTAATTTCCAATAACAAAAGATGCTCTTCTTACTCCTATCACTACAAGAAACTACAGCGGTTTTAGGAGCCAAGTTCCAGGAACAGGGGATAAAAAAATATGTATGCGTTTTTTAATTACATCACAGTATCACATATTCTTCAATAGCACTGTGGAGTAATTTTTGATGAGATTTTCCTAACCAATCATTTTATGAAGACAGGGATGGAAAAGAGGATTATACCTGACAAAGTTTCTTTTGATTGTTCTTTCCTTTTTCAAACTTTTTCTCTGTCCTTTATCCTAAAGCAGCTATCCCCTCAGCCTACATCTTGAGATACCATTCTTATGTATAATGACCGAGCCTTCAGACGGACAGCCCATCTACTCCGGTCCTCACAGGAAGAAAAGGTGCCCTTCTTCAGATCTATCCTCCTCTTAAGAAGTAAAGAATAAATTTTTCTTTCCTGTCACTTCAGAAGAATGGAGTCAACTAAAACATATGCCTGACTTGAATGGAGTGGAATCAATTACATTATTATATTTTATAATACAATACTAGGAGGTATCAAAAGAGAAAGTTGTTAAATGTATGAGGATCAGAAAATCGGGGTGTCAGAAAGAACAAAATTCCCATAGGTTATCTAGAACGCTTGACTCTGTTGGGGCCAGATTAACAAGGGTGACGTTGTCTCACGGGACGCTTGCTGTTCAGTTCAGGCTTTAATCTGGCACACTTCTATCAAACTGACAGATATAATAAAATGCATCTGCATCTATTGTTGGTAAATAGTTATAGTAATATTTCAACATTTTTGAAGAAACAGCAGATATTATGATCATTTATAAATTTCCATTAAAAACAGCCCACCCCCCCCAAAAAAAATTCTTAATCCTTAGTGAAGTATGCACTAAAAACCTCAGTTCCTGAATTTGTATGTTTAACTGTGGGGTACATGTCACACTGAAATGTCATGCATTTCTCAGCATTCCCTTCTTCGGACATGGGTCAAAACAGGTACTTTTAAATGCTAAATAGTTTCTAAATATCTAAATCCTCAGGAAAATAGAAATGCTCTAGTCCTGTAGCTCCTTTTTTTCCCCTCAAATAAACACCGAGTCTACAAAGATGAAACATAAGACAAGCATATCTATAAATTATAAAGGATGTACTTCTAAAAAATAAAGCTTTATTTCAAATTCATTACCGTAGCTTAAGTGACCGAGCACTTAGAGAAACGCTTTCTCTATTTAGGGAGAAGTACTCATTTTGCTGTGCAAGGTCGTATGTTTTGAAATGACAATCGAAGTCGGAGGATTTTGCCCCTAGAGTCTTCATTCAGAGTGTCTTCCAGTGGTGTCACAAGTAGATAAATGCATCTAATTACTAGATTGTACATCCTGATATATGTTTATTTGGCTATGCAAACAACCCACCAAATGTATAATTTTCTCTTCTTAAAAAAAAAGACATAGTAATTTATATGCAAAAGATATGTTAATCAGCATTATCATTGAGATTTTTCATGTGTCAAGTTAGGATGCTTGGAATGATCATTTTGCTGTCAGCAATAAAGCAGCTTACACTGGAAATCCATTATGGAAGCATCTCCACAATCTCAATAAAATGGACCTCATAGACCCCCTTGTCAGCAAGCATGGTATTGGCTTTTATATAATAATAATAATATGGTACCTACATACTATTAGGGAAAGGTAAAGCAGAAGCTTTAATACTATAGAAAAAAAGTCTACAAATCAGTAAGAACAAAATTTGAAAACAAAGGGAATAAATAGAATGTGCTCTTCCAAATTACTGTGCAAGTTCTTTTGAAGTAGAAGTAGTCAATGCAATATGAAAATCTGAAGTTGAGGGGTTTTAATCAATTGACAGTGGTGGGGACTCACCAGAAGAAGGGTGTTCCCATTAGCATGTCTTGCAGTAACTGTTATTTTAATTGGCTGAAATGAACTGTGATGCCCCAGGCCACTAAGGATATTTTGTTTTCAGACAGAAAAGTTTCATTTGGAGGGTTGTTTTCCAACTAGGAAATTACCCCAAATCGCTTCCAACCTCCAGTTCCGCCTTCCCATTTCTCTTCCAAAGTTCTGTGATCTCTGAGGCACTGTTATTTTGTCACAAATTCTAATTCATTAAGGTGAGTATGTGTAAACTTTTAGAGATCTACATCCTCTAAAAACTCAATCATTTCATTCCTGATACATTCAACTGTGCACTTTCTAAGTAGAAAACTATGCACTGATTGTATGAAGTTTCAGCGGAAATACTGTTCCCCCTCAAGTTCAGAATTAAGGTAATGAGACGCATCCGAAGGTTTATAAACCGATATAAAAAAACAGAAGTGTTATTTAAGAAATCCAGTTATTTTACCTGGGTAGAGGCTGAATTCCAGTTTAGGGGTATGGAGATGGAGACCTCTAAGGAATAAAATGTGTTCCTTCAGAAAAGAGGCTATGAAAGATCAGGTAAGGGGAAGGCTGCACTGTGATTCTACAAGAAATGGGTAAAATATTTGATTTGAGAATAGAAACCACAGCATAAATGACTAATCATGTAATCAGATAGAAAAGGAGATGTGGGTTCAAAAAATAACGGTATCAATGGTAGACAGCCTGGGAGATTGAGGGAACAGCAAAATTAGTAGGGAAAAGAAATAATGTAGTGAAAGATGACAGCTCACACTGACATATTCTAAATCTATGGCAAACATACTTGTTTCATATGTAGGGACTTACATTTCTAGACACTTGTGAGTGAGAAAGCTTGAAAACAGTGGAAAAGAGATACAATCACAGATTTATTCCTCAGTGGTCTCAGGTGGTGCAGAGTAATATAGAGGGTGCTTTAGCCCCCCTCCAAAGTTAGGGTGTGAATATTATAGTGGAAACAGAATGCATATATCAATTCAGAAAAAATATCTACTGTAAAACCTTATAAATTATGCCAACCAACTGAATATTCGAGTAATATCATAATGTTGGTAAACAGTTCTACAGTTTCAAGTACCGTGGCTTGGTAACGCGAGACATTCTGTGATAAACCCAACCAGAGTTCCCCCATACCTTCCAAGAAATTGAACAGTGAATATTTTCAAAACAAAGCTGAATGTTGATCTTCTGTAATCTATCCTATATAATCCTTGTGCTGCCTGCTTGCCTCAGAAGATTCACTTAGGGGTTGCTCCTATTTTGCAACTTTTTAACAACAGCTTGAACTAATGACTGGTTGGTGTTTCTCCTCCCGTAACTTTTACCATAGCAAATTGACCATCGATGGTTTCGTATCTTGCCGGTTCTATACCACCTTCAGTTGAATCCAAATTTCCTTTCTTTTCAGGCAATGTATCTATAACTCCTTCCAGAGATTAGCAAATTTACTGATAAACATCCCAGAAGAGAAAGGAAAAAAATAGCCAAATTATATGTAGGGGAATATAAAAAACAGACTTTTAGAATAAATGCCATTAACCTGATGTGGCTTTGCTACGTAAGTCTGCCAAGTGTAACAAGACAAAAAGCCTCACCTATGAAAAAGATTCCTCCCTTGACCAAACTTTAGTCAGTCTCCTTAGCTTTCATCTATGTGCACCTCTATTTAGCAAGAATTCTGGTAAGTCAGTTTAATCTAATTAACCTCTAGCATCCCTTAGACGGTGTCTCATCTCTCTGGCCTGTCTTCAGCAAAAAACTCTGCTAGGTCATTTTATCCCCCTAACCCCTGATGTTTCCTCTTGGTAGTTTTCTGTACACTGACACTCGCCCTGCTCCTTGGCTATCAATTTTCACTTGCCTATCCTGTATTAGAAATTGAGTCCAAACTGGCTCCGACTCTGTGAAATCCCATTGCAGTGGTCACTGAAAGTATGTTCATGGTCCTTAATAAAGTCTGCCTTACCATCTTTAATTTTCTTTTTTTTTTAATGGAGGGAGGTAATTAGATTGATTGATTGACTTACTTGATGGAGGTACTGGGGATTGAACCCAGGACCTCGTGCACGCTAGGCATGCACTCTACCACTGAGCTATATACACCCTCACCCCTGCCTTACCATCTTTAACATCTGTCACCGAATATGTTTTTTCTTTAACAGCTTCTAACATGCTGAGGTTATCTTCCTCATGAAGATGATGGAACAATAGTAAGTGAAAATTATATCCATTTTACTCGGCTTTGATTTCCACAAACTGAAAGGTCCGCTTTTCCGGTAAAACTCAATCTTCGTGCTCAGAGACATTCAGTGTCTAGACGCAGAAGCATCAAAATGGCTGTTGACAGACTGTATCATTTAAAGCAAACTTCTTTAGAATAAGTAATAAAGTCACCCGTAGAATTTCCCAAGAAGAGGCAATACAGAAACTACTGTATTTCCTATGGAATAAAATCAATCAATTTAGACAGACCTTAGATCTTTCCAATTTTGAAAGTTAATTTTATGTATTTTTGCATTTTAGAGATAAGGGAGAAAGGAAACTTTTTCCTATGAAGGGCATTTGTAGAAAATCTTAAATGTAAGTTGAAGGACCTACCTGTGGTAAAGAACAGGTTTTCTGATGATTGGAGCCACGACGAGGATTTCCTGCAGATTGAGGTTTCTTAAAGTGCTTCAGGGTCCCCTGTCTGCTATTTTCTTATCTAATGTATCTTCACCTTTCAGCCCTTAATGACAGTGTTCTAAGGACCTAAAAGGGGGAAAAAAAGACATTTTTGAAAAGACTGCTGAGTTACAGCAAAGTCACCTTGTACTTGCTTCAGATGTTGTGCACTCAGGAATATAAAACAGGAACATCTTGTTACAGCCGTCAACTTGCTGAGTATCTGGTCAGGGTGGAGAGGCTAGGATGCATCCAAGCAGTGTGTGAAAAAGGGGAAAGGACTCTCACTTTTAGAGAGACAAGGCCAGTTTGGTTTCAAGAGTTGCTTTTCAAGGATGCTGCTGTATTTTGTTTGAAATGGCAAGTGGCTGGCATGAGAGGAGATGGAGAGAGAAACGTAAGCAAGGTCATTATTCAATACCTATTCGTGGAGTTCCCACTCTGCACAGTTACAGTGACGAACAAGACTTAGATTATGTCTTTTCGAGTTTCCAGCGCAGCTGGGTCAAAGGTAAGAAAATATGGAATTACAGTGCAATGGGATGAATGTGACAGCAGTAGGCGATGCCCCTGATTATGGGGGAGGCTTCGTATTTCCCAAGTGTGGGAGGAGAGAAGAGGGCCAAGGAAGTCTTTCCAAGGTGGGGAGTCGGGGGTCAAAAACCTTCCAACAAGAGAGCTGAAGATAGCCTAGTGCTTAACCAAGTTAGAACACTGGAGACACAGGAAAAGAAAATTATATACAAGAAGAGAGAAGTATAAGAGCTTGAAGGTGTAAGAAAGAGCTAAGACTAGGATGATGAGGAGGCAAATCTCAGTTTGACTTCTCTGCCCTGTTCAAGGCGAGAGACCTGAACTTATAAATCACAATTAGATTCCGAGCAATAAAAGCAATGCCTCAGGGAGCATCAGGTTCACAGAAGGCCTTGAGAAAATCTTACTAAATTATTTTTACCAACTTACTTTAAACTCATTAATAGAAGTTTTCCTAAAGTTAATCTAAGTGTCTCACTTAAATGTGTTTTGGGATCTAAATCAAATGAATATACGTAAACGTATGTAATTTTTTTTTAAGAAACCAGCCTTTATTTTATTTTATTTTACTGTATTTTATTTTTTTACAGACTGAACCGAGAAGTAAGTTTTTCTTTGGACTTGGCCAAGATGGGATGTGGATAAGATGGCTGTTTGCAAATGAACCAGTTTGTGTCCACGAAGTAATATATATATATATATATATATATATAGGCATCCATATAAATATGCATATACATATGTATACACATATATGCTTTTCTTTTCTTTCTTTTTTTTTGTGACCTTTCTCTCTTTTGGAACTATACTGGCAAACCTAAATATGTTTAGGAATTGGTAATACTTACGCAAAATGAGGTATTTTTATCTAATGAACATATGCAACAGGAAATTTTGCAAAAGAGTTCAAAAAAAGGGCATATATGACATATTAAATTTATTTGATCTAAAGTTGTGAAACAACGTCATTCAAGTATATCAACCTACTTGTTGGTTTCAAAGTGCATTTGCATAATCCTCTAGGTAAACTGGGTTTTTCAATTAGTTTTCCTGGGAGGGATAGAGGGAGGAGAGTTCCAGGTTTGAAATGCATAACCATGTGTTAACTCTTCAAATTTCAGTCCTCTCCTAGCGGGAGAACACCAGACACCACATGGGTCTGCTTCCCCTCCCCGATAAATTCAAAGCTCCATCCAATTATCTTTTACCTTAAACAACAGCCAAAAAAGAATTGTTAGAGAGGAAATGTCGCAGGTGGTGGGTAAAAGCCAATCATGTGTTTTAGGTTTACTTGTTGCAGGTAGAGTTGCTGAGCGTGTAGGCAGGTTTTGTTCCCACAAATCAACTGTGTACGCTAGGTTTAAGCTACTGTGCCAGCAACGTGGATTACATTGAGTCACATGCATCTCAAGACCTGATCGGTGGTCTAGAAACAGTAATACTGAGCACACTGAGTACGAGTTCTGCTGACCAGATCTGAAGACTTCGGTTCTGGCCAATGAATATCTTGTTACACATCAGTTCTTATAAATCCCTAGTACCTGATAATACAAAGAAACTACCCTGTCTCCTTTCATACCTTTAAGTCATGGTCATACCATGCTAAATTTTGAATGCTATTACTGATCATTCATTCAGTTACAGTAATGTGTTATAGGATCGGAGGGGAAAAAAAAAATCTCTGCTTCCCAGTCTAAAAATCCTTGAAGAAATGATGCAGTGAAACAATAACACCTGTTTTTTTTTAAATTAATCTATTTTTTATGATTTCAGTCATCAGAAAAGCTCGTTTGTATGATGATACATATGGTATATCCTAATACATTTTTTAATTGGCCGGAGAAAATGAGTTTTCCTCCTCTCAGTGAAGCTTTTTATAGCCAAAATGTGTGGCTACCCAGATCCATCTTCTCTCTTCTGTAAATATATGACCTCAGTTACTTGTTAGGGATCACATTCCCTTCATTGACTATAATTTTGGTGGGACTCTTATTTGAGGTGCTGATTATAATATTAGCATAGTGTGGGCAGAAAGTATCCTAAATTAGGTCAACCAAAACCTCTCTCAGGAATATAAATCTTGAGTACAAATAACTAATAGAAGAGTTATTCATTCATTCTATGCCAGTGGGAACCTAATGATTCTTTTCATTTGTTCTAAATTTCTTGATCTTAAAATTGACCTTATTTCTGTCTTTCTTGGAGCCTGGTGGTTCTATTTTTCCATCCATTCCATGAGCTGCCTTATGTATTAGAAAAAAAAAAAGATGCAAGTTATCCATACATGGTTTCTATTGCTTGTAACCAAAGAACCTCAAATAACACAAAGAATGATAGCAAAACTCATAGGTGATGGAGCAAGTGCTAAAAGAATTGTATTCTAAGAAAAAATTTTAAGTACCATAAGGGAGGAAAAAAAAACAGTATATCATAGAAGAAATAAGGCAGAGAGCTAGCTCATGTTTGCTTAAAAATAAGTTTTATGGAGGAAGTAAAAGAATGGATGGAATTTTCAGAGAAGACGAGGATTAGAACCTGTGTCACAGGAGGGAGCAGCATCAGCAAAGAGATAAGGGAAGACAAGTTCAAGATGCGACTGGGGTTAGGAACAAACTCAGTTCACACATATAATATAGAAAGAGATGGGAGGAAACTTTGTCCATTTTCAAAATAAATGTTTATTGTGGTTCTGTGATATAATAATGGTGAGTAAGACAGACATGCTCCACACTTTCCGGAAAATATTTTCCCCTGGATGGGAGAGAGAAATGGCTAACAGAGGATTCTCCAAAGTGCAAATAAAATAAAAATGCGGTAAGTTCTGTGAAGGAAAGGGGCTAAGATACAGAGACTAAGTGCATGGATGGGAGGTAGGTTGAGGGAGGGCTGGAGGAAGCTTGTGAAATTTTAGAGAAGAGTTGAATGGTAGGAAAAGTGGAAGAATGAAGAATTCCAAGCAAAGGAACAGAAAATACAAATGTCTTAGGGAGAGAAATCTTTGACCTATTCTGAGAATTGATCAAAAACTACTTCACTCAGGTGAGCAAAGGAGAGTGGAGTGTAAGACTATGCTGGAGAAACAGGTAGGGGTCATGTCCTATTGGTCTTCTATCCCTCAGAGAACAGCTTGGGGTTTATTTCAAATCTACAAGTAAGCTATTTACATTTAATACAGATCAACCTAATAACTATAGAGAGGGGTCAGTTAATCTGGAATGATGACCGAGATTTGGGTAATGAAGAAATTTGAGAAATTAAGACGGGCATGTCATGATGATATAATGAGAGATTTACATTTGAGCACGAGGTAGTTTACTCATTTAAATTCAGTATATAAATTAGAACTACTGGAAGTATTTATTACAGTGACAACTACCTTGCATAATAATATTATCCATGATATGTATTTCCTTCTAATCATCTACAGTATTTGCACTTCCTACAGGCAATTTCTCAATTCACGACATGCTGACTAGAGCTATGTGTGTTTATATTATATTTTGTTTTCCAACTAGACTGAAAACATCTTGAGGGCAGGCTCATGCCATATATTTTTGTCTCTTTAGTATTTCCTAGCTGACATTTGATATGAATATAAATTACTACTACTAATAAATATGTATTTACTATTTACTATTTTCTAGACACTATGCTAAAGGCTTTATATGTATAATTCAGTTCAATCCTCATTCCAAATCTGTAAGAAGTCCCTGTAACTGTTTTACAGATGAAAAAACTTAAATTGACCATGATTAAGTCCCTTGTCCACTTGTTACTAATTGACTGATCGATTTACAATGTGTTGAGTATGAAAAAAAGTATCTGGTCAGAGAGGGTATTGATCAAAGTATTTTGAAAGAATATACGGGAATGACATTTTTACTGTATTAAACCAATTTCTAGTCCTATTGGGAATCAACCATGAATGTGTTCACTGTTAGAGAATCCCACATGGTTTCCTCTCTCTGCACGTGCTAGCTATTTCTGACAATGTGTATCTTTTAAATGGAAGGGTTTATTTCATACAGAGACACTCTGTTCCATTTAATTAAGCCAAACCATACATTTTTCTTCCCACCACTAAATCAAAAAAGATGAGGACAGATTCTACAATAGATGTGGCTGGTTCACTGTGTCTAGATACTAAGCATTTCTAACATCTAAATGTACATGCAGAAACACCTATCAAATAATGACTGTGACAAAGATTATGATTGTGTCCCAATTATCTCAACAGATACAGATGCCATAAAATTTAAAAGAGAAAGAAGACAGTGAGAGGAAGGGAGGAAAAAAAATAACAAACACACACTAATGGGAATTAGAAGAAAACATCAAGGCTGTCAAAGAAAATTACGTTGGGCTCACTACAGGAGGACACGGAAAGGAAAACAAAAGTGAAAATAATTTAGAGTCTACCCTGAGGCAAACAAATATAAAAAACAATGGAGGAATTTTAATTGGGCAAAAGCATTCTAAATATTTGCTTAAAACTACATCTCTCCTTAAAACACAAACCAGTGATGACACACCTGACATGTGCTCACAATCCG